TGGGACCCTCGGCTGGCGCATAGCGGGTCGGCCCCGGCGGCCACGTGTCGATTGCTATCGATGCAACGGCCAGCCCAAAACAAAACTCTCGCGCTGGTGTCGCGGGCGTCGGTAAAAATCCTATCGGCTTAATTGATTTTACGTGGGAAGGATTTATGGTCCGTTTATTTTGGCTCAGTGAGATGGGAAAAAATATTCAGTATCAATCAATACCGACGGAATATTGCTTGGATGATACAAAGTGATTTTTTCAGATGAATGTACCTTTAAGGACGAGATGTTGGTTTTTATTTTTGCGAAAAATCGTCAAAATAGCAGGCAGTTCACCTGATATAAGGTGAGGACCGCCGCTCATAGACATCTAGGATACCTCAGGGCTTGCACGAGCATTGACAACTTTCAAAACAGTAGGTGTCGTTTATTTCACTCACCAGACGAAACGCCAAAATATAGCACTTCCACTTCACGCTGATTTTCTGTGAGGACTGTCCCCCGAGACTGCCCATTCGTGCAGCCGTATATGTGGCGCGTGTGTGGCCTCACCACAGTCACGTTGTTGTGTGTATGATGATGAGCGGTGGAGTAGTATGCAGTAAAAGCGAACGTTTAAAAAGTTTCATAATAACTGTTGGTAAGTGAGTCCTCTTTTAACATCAGGTAACGGTTTGCTTAATAGACCAGCAATTCATAGCACCAGCATTGCCAGTCATTGTAGAAACGCAAAAATCTTCTCTCTGTCTTCTTATGATCGGCCTTGTGACGCAGTGTTACTTTCCAGGTGGAGCTGGCTTGTTCATGCAGCATGCCTTGGTAATTTAAGTCGTTGCACTACAAGAGAACACCTGTTACACGGGGGCGTGGTTGGAAAACTATAAAAGTAGTTTGTCAACTATTTCTTGAATCTGGTTTTTTTAAGACGTCAATAGCTAGTACTAACGGAGTGGATAAACTAAAAACTTTATTTCAATAAGAAAACTAATTAATTTATAAAGATTCTCGAACATAAGAATGAGAGAGATATAAGAACTCGTTTACATTAATAGGGCATGAAAATTTCTTATTCAAGACAATCAGATAAGATTACATCGCAGATAATAAATTAACTGATTGAGTTATTTATTGTAATATACCATTAAATGAAGTTGTTACAAAAGTTGAACTACACAATGAATTATACATCTATTACACAAACTGGGGATATTAATGGTTTCAAAGACACCGTATTAACCTTTATTATATAGTAATTTCATAATCGTGCGAATACAATATTTGCAAAACTGAAACAGACATTACTCAAATAAAAATGTTAGAAAAACTGTAGAGCCTAAATCTAAAATGTTTTGCAATAATACGCATTTTGAATCATTTTTCATAAAGAACAGTCAATACTTGGCTGTTCTCCGTGATGGTAAATGGCGATGCACTACATGATATAGACGTTAGCTAGAAAATCTAATCACTATTGCCTTGATGACGCCCATGTCATGTTTCGAGAAAAATCTATAAGCTGTGCTCGATCTGGGAATCATCTCACGAAAGGTTCAAAGTATAGACAAAAGTGTCTATACTTTGAACCTTTCTTGGATGACGTCCTTCAGTGAGGATTGCAGGTACACTATTCCTTTATAATAGACTATTAAAGGAAGTATTATTGTATGCTATCGCTCTAGCATCTAAGTAACACGTTATAAAAACACGCCATTTCAACAAAACGAGAACAAAACCCAAGTCCCACTGTCAATGTTAACCGAGTATATTCACAGGGCCGGCAATAAAATAATAATTATAAACATGTGACTTATTAGCCGTGCACGTCGCGTGCCACACAATCTTAAACAGTCGCAACCGACGCGCCAGGGAGGAAGCAATTTGAGGTCTATCTATATAGCGGCAGATAACAAAATGCCTTGCCGCGTAGTGTTAAGATATCTCGTGTCCTAGTGGGAATGTAAAAAGCGAAGGCAAAATAACAAAAGCTTGAACAATAGCAATGCATCGTATCATTTGTTAAGCGTCCCTTCTGACGATCACTATTATAACATGACGGATGGTGGGGTGGTGTCGGGGGTGTATTTTGCAATGTAACACCCTAAATACGTAAACCTCAGATATTTAATGTTCATAACTATAGCATAAATGACGCTTTGTTCCTATATCAGTTCCCTAGAAGTCCGTATTGTTTTTCGAATTTGTCATGACACATAGATTGCAAATAATTTATCATAAAACAAATACCTTAAATGTCAATATCTCATAGCAAATGGTGTCGTAGCCAACGTCAAGACACTAGTATCAAAAGTCTGCGGACCTAATTAGAAGCTAGGGCATAGTAGGGATTGCAAAAACGGCCTAAGCGCTCAAACTTTGTTTCCATCTTCGTCCACTTCTAGACACAAATGGCCATTATTTTTTTAATGATAATCATTGGCCACTGAGTTGTCGGTACAACAAATTTTAAGTTATGACCGCCGTCCAACTACGATACTTGAACTACGGTTTTTAGAGGTGACGCTAGATTTAAAAAAAAGGCCCCGTTTGACTCATTCATCACACAAAACACGAAAATATAATACTTCAACTTTATGGGGTCTCCGAACGAGCCTGGCTAAAGGGTAAAACGGGACCCTAATACTAAGACTGTCTGCCTGTCTGTCCGTCTGTCATCACGCGGTATCTCATGAACGGTGATAGTTAGACAGTTGAAATTTTCACAGATGATGTATATGTTCTGTTGCCGCTATAACAAAAAGTACTCAAAAACAAAATAAAAAAACATTTAAATGGGGCTCTTTTGCCGTTTTTATAGATAATGGTACGGAACCCTTCGTGCCCGAGTCTGACTCGCATTTGGCCGGTTTTTCCATCCTATTGTTAAACAACAAACGGAAAGGAGTACAGTAGAAATCATTGCCTCATAGATTTTCGTGACGATTTAATTTGTATTAAAGCTATTGAAGAAAACCTGAACTCTTTAAGTTATTAATTCACGAAAGTCATTTAATTTTTCCGATTGTAAACACTTGTTCTTTCATTGAAATCGAACCCATTGGGATAAGTGCAACCGACTCTTCAGCCCAAACCCGTGGGTTCTGGCTAGCACACAGTATCTGCGTCAGATGAAGCTTTAATAGTTTCGGGACTGAAAGCAAAAACATCAGTTAATACAAGATACAAGACTCTTCAGCCCAGCGACACAGCAAACGAGAAGCACGCGAAAAAATGTCGTAAAACAATTCGCTAAATCGCCGAAATAATTTATAAAAGTAGGGCATCACCGTCACACGACAACCCCATTCATAAAGATTTTTTATACTCATTGTAATATGCACAACGGCTTAAAGCTGATCGATAGAAAGCTAAAAGTGAACCTTACCGAATGGTGTTAGAACGCGTTTTGGCGGTGCTGAGTCGCAATTCGTTTGTACACCATGTCATTTGACTAACGACACCTTAATGCGGAGTATTTAGTCAGAAGCGGAATGGTTTTATTGTGAGCGGGCAATGTATCGAGAAGTTTTAATTTTGGTTTATGAGTCGAGAGTAATGCTCCCTTTTAGCACACTCACCCTACGTTTGCCTTAGCAATGATTTATTGACACGAGTATGTTTGCCGAGCTCAGCACACGCCAGAGTCATGATCTAAAACTAATGCATGTATAGCCGTTGTTGTAACTTAAATATGTGACGGTTCCTACAATATTTAATTATTTTACTTTTTATTGGCAAGTTTCGTTAAATACTTGTTGTTTTCTTCCACATTTGTAATTTTAGTTTGACAGTAATGAAACGACTAGTAAATTGTATCGATTGCGTGTTAACTGCTTAAAGTATACAAATGATTGTGTTCTAAGCTGACTTTATATGGTACGGAATACACACTATAGTTTTCTAGCTTTAGTTGGCGAAGAGACAGATTTCAGAGCTTTCTACATTTGAAAAAATCGTTTGAATGATGGTGATTTATGCCCAAAAAGTAAGAAAAATTCCACAATCATTGCGGAATTTTTCTTACAATAATTACTTCCCAAATAATTCCAACTAGCAAATTGAAAACTTTATAATACGATTTTATCATTAATTTAATTTTGTTTTTTATAATAATAATATAATCAATCAAAGATTTTGTTTTTGATCAAAACTAGAAATAAAGGTTAAGTTATACATCTGTTAGGTATGCCTTTACCATTTTTTGTTAAATTAATTTTTAATTATTAATGAGTTGATAGTACTAATACTTTTGTAGTCAATAACGAGTACTTGGTATAGAGTATGATATAAATGCCGTTCCATTGTGAATAATTATGTTATTACGAACCAGGGATTGTATCGATTGTTATGGTAGGTCAGCGAATATTTTATTTTACCTTTATAGATAAAATGTTAAAGAGCAGGAGCCGTGAAATGTACTGGAAATCTACTGTACCTTCTAGACACTAAAGTCCTACAACCCTAATCATTGGAATAACTGAAGATAATCAAACATCTCTGTCTGTCTTTTGAAGGAAAAAGCACTGTCTATGTGGCATTAGATACTATATTTTCGAGTCCATTGATATGACTTTGTATTTTTATAAACAGATCTTGTACATTTAAACGCGCCTTGACCACCAGTTTCTTTGCAGTTAATGCGAGGGGTGTCATGTACATCATTATTTCAGCCTGTTTGAGTCCACTGCTGAACATAGGCCTCCCCCACAGGCTGCCACGAAGCACGATCCTGATCCACTTGCATCCATCGACTTCCCGCACACTTGGACAGGTCGTTCTTCGGTGCTGGCCGTATGAGGAAGCTCAAAGTCGCTCAGCGAGCTATGTAGCCGGCTATCCTCGGTATTCCTTTGATAGAGTTCGCAACGAAGACACCCGCAGCAGAACAAAGGTAACTGACATAGCTCAAAAGTTTAGTAAGCTGAAGTGGCGATGGCCGTATAGCTCGTAGAGCGGTGTCAAGCGGTACCTAATTCCGACGTGGCTCCACGTGGTGTTGGACGCACTCCCAAATGAGCATTAGCGAAGCAATAAGCCCGACACCCCAGTCCAGGAGATTAAGCGTTCGTAATGCCATAAAGAGCTATAGCGCCGGTGCCGCGCCGCTCGCCGCGGGGGCTCTTTGTGCCGTTTTATTGAGGTCCACAGACTCCCCGAGGAGCGTTGCGAGCGCCTCCGCTATTTGTCCTCGGCTCGGACGGCGCAGCGCCAGTTAATTTCCTCTCGGGGGTCCCGTGTTTGCCGCTAACGTTTCCTTTGCACCAGTGCCTTTGACCGGTAAACGTTTGAGGTTCGGACGGTTGACGTCAATGTGGGTGATGGACGAGTATTGGCTTTATACGTCATGCTGCCCCAGAGGATACCATCACCACAAGATTGGGAATGATCAAACAAATGATGTGTAGTCTCAGGAACACTCTTTGCGAATTAGTTGACCTTTTAGCCTTTTCATCATTCATACTTGTTATTTAGCGTATGGTTCAGAGAATTTATGTATCAAAACTCAATTTAAAATACTTTGAAAATGTATTTTTACAGTATAATAATCTTGCTTTTTAGTGATATTCGCGTAAAACTTATTCACACATTTACTAATGAGCGAAGTGAAGATTTCCTATTTCCTAAGACCTTTAAACAGAACCGATTTTACTATGTTTTGAGTCCATATATTGTACTATGTTTAATCACATCGATAAAGAAGATCAAGCGGAATCAGATCCACAGCAATAATTAAACAGAGAGCAACCATGCAACCTTGGTTAATTCATTAGCAAAGTTGGCGCTTCTTACTGGTTCAGAGGATTCTTCCTTCTCATGGGTTACATTACGTTTTATATCCTATGCGCTGTTGCCGCTGCTATGTTTTCGATGGTAAAAAGTTGTTATATTAGGAACTAGACTGAGATGGATAATGCTTTGTCTCTGTCTAGCATCAAGTGCCCAGGATTGAGGACGTGGGAGCTCGAACGTTATCGACTCTCGCATGAGCCTCGTCATGGTTCGAAAGCCCGGAATCGAGTGGAATAGCCTCAGGCCGATAACTTTGTTAGTCCCACATCCATCGCAACTGTTGCGCGCGGCTATTCAAGTGGGTTTATACGCTATGAAGTGCAAACCACTCGCCTGAATTAGTTGCATAAAAAGAGTTTGTTCAGAGGCTTTTCACTTTTAGAGATTCACGGCAAAAAAAATAATTCAATCGTACAAAAGAGTATAGACGTAAAAGATGCCGTAGGGAATTTATTTTCGCCAGATTGGCGATATTCAGATAACAGAAACCTACCCGTCATGTTAGTTTAGGACGAAAAAATTAAGAAATTCTCAAAATCTCGGAGTCATCTAATATGTAGAGCAAATCAGTAAGTTCGCGAAGTAGCATTATATCAAGTGTGGTAACTATCCAATGGTTTGGTGACTCAATTAAATAGGATAAATAATATACTTAATATGATAAATAAGAATACTACTATAATTCAATTTTAGTATTTTTTTTTTTTTTTTTTTTTTTTTTTTTTTTTTTTATTTTAGTACCAAAATAATGTTGAATTGCCTCAATTTAACGTAACGAATTTAATCATAGATACATGGAAAATTTTCTCAACGTTCTCTATTCTATGAATAATTGCAATTTCGCTGAAAAAAGAAATCTGAAAAAAGTAGAGACTATATAAATTATCGATTCTATTTAATTACAATGAACATACATTCAATTGCAATATTTTATTTGGTGACAATTTTGTATAATATGTGTATATACATTATACACAATATCGATAGAGTAACCGATTTATGTAACAACTTTGTACGTAATTTTTATTTAAAAAGGATTTAATTTCAATTGTATTTTATTTATATGTATTATAAATTGTACAAACTATATTAAAAATAATAAAAATTATTATATAATAATATGTAACAATGAACAAAGAAAGGACATGATGAACAATTTCATTCAACTTACAACAAGCAGAGTGGCGCAGTGGAAGCGTGCTGGGCCCATAACCCAGAGGTCCGTGGATCGAAACCACGCTCTGCTATCAAAACTTTTTGTTGCTTTTTACCGTTTTTTATTTTTCAAATGAAAAGATAAAGGTCGAAAGAAAGTCAACAAAGCTATAAAACTCTACTTAAAATGTTATTCATGTTTTTATATAGATTTCACAATTCTTAAGTAATTGGCTTAAGATCTTAAAATTTGAAGTATTAAAATTTTTTTATAACAAATTTTAAATTATTTTAAGATCCATCACCACACGTCGTTCATTTAATGTTTTTGTATTTTTTTGTGACAATTTATAGTATTACTTAGTAATTAGGTAAATGAAATGAAATTGTGAATAACTATATAATTAAAACATATGATTTTACTATCGAAACAAAATTTACTCACGAAACAGTTATTTTAATCATCTAACATTTTTATTCACGAAATTTTAATTTGGCACGTACGTTTTTCAGTAATGTTATGTTCATGTAATTTAAAACATCCATAAATGTTTACGCGTATCAAGCAATGGAGGCTGAGATTACCGCTTGCTCTTATCACATATTCCTTATTTAGGATTAACAAAATCACTAGATTTTGTACATCTAGAGACAATCTGATGGAAGGTTGTTCCTTTTCGATTATTATTGAAAAAATATATAAAAAAACGAAACAGTTGCTTTCGATTGTGCACATTCGGCGTGAAGTTTTTTGCAACTGGTGACCACTCCGCCATGGAGTGCATCTTGGGGCCTGGAGTAACGCCCGGGGCCGACGATTAACATAACAAGGCCCCCATTACGCCTATAGCAATGGCGGACCGTCAACTTTACTATTTGCACCTAGAGAATAGAGTCGCGTAACGTATCGAAACGGAGGAGAGTTCAAAATCGAGCGGCAGCCGGGAAACGGCTTCCGTATTAGGCCTGTCGTCACTCGCGTCGCAGTTAAAACTAGAATTTGACAGGCGAACGCATTGTTTGTCAATCGCCATCGATTATTCACGGCGTAGTTGGCAGCCCGCGGCTAATTTGGGGCGGCCCGTTAGCGGGTAGTAGGTATTTATCGTCGCTAACTAGATAACAAGTGGTTTAAAATTGGAATTTACATAATAATGCCTTCGCAGGGGTAGTGTAATGAAGTTGCGAGGGTGTGACGCGTCAGTTGTCGCACGACGACTGAATCGAGGAATCTTTAAACGTTGACAACTCTATAATTCTCTTCTACGTCTACCTTTTTTTAATAGTTACGTATCAATAAACTAACGACTGTTTTTGCTTTCAATACAATATTTCTACAGATGACTCCGTGGCGCAGTTGCCAAGTTATTGGCTTCGGCGTCGGGGGTCGTGGGTTCGATTCCCACACGGGACAACTATTTGTGCGACCCACGGATAGTTGTTTCGCATCTGGGTGTTTGTCCTCGTGTAATTTATGTTTGTAAAACGTCCTTACAACACAGGATAATGTTATCCTAAAGTGAGGGCAATGTTAAAAAAAAATATAGCTCCATGCCATCGCATATTCCCCACACTAACACGGAGCATATTTTGTATTTCACAAAACTAAACAACCGTCTCAATCTGCAAGTAACAGCTAACCTATAGATTACTGTTTACAATTCTGACGTAATAGTAAATGGCCCCATACGTCTAAGAGGAGCGGAATCTTTGATCGTGAACACAGAGCGTGTAATCACCGCGTTCAATTAAAGGGAAAACGCCGCTGATAAAATTTAAAAGTGCGGCCTTAGCCGCGGGCGGATGGCGCGTTTGGAAAACATCGCGTCACGTGCTGCAAATTATCAATATCCCATGATAAAACAAACGGCCAGACCGCTGTTTGTGTTCCCCGGTTGTTTTTAGACTAAACTCGCAGAAATTCCCGTACCGTTGCACACTTTCGTGGGGGCTAATATTATTTTTACAACGTAGCCTGTAACATCAGAATTTTGATCCACGATCTTTACGATTTCCCAATTTAATGGGAATAAATTTATTAAGAATATTAAAAAGGCTATTATTTAACAAATTTAAAAATGAGGTATTAATGAAATTGATTTTTTTATATAAATACTAATGATGAAGGCAGCAATGTATAAAAGCGCCATCTATTTTTGACGAATGACAACATGACTCCCCTTCATACTCATAGCATGTAAATTTTTCTTTAAAGAAAGAATTGGTCATGGACGTGTTTGACAACCTTTAAGACGGGAGCTTACGATTACTTCAGTTACTGGACAACACATAAAAGTATAAATACATATTACTCTGGATCGTAGCAACAACACGGTATACAGTCAACGTGTCCACCATTGTGCTATTCGTGCAAACGATAAATGTCATTAAATTTAGCATTAAAATTTCCTTTTTTTAATTATAACACATTATATATAATAATTAACATGTCAATCCTATGCGATAAATTCTCTAAAGAAATAAACTAAAACAAGAGTTGTTAAAATTGAGATAGAGTCGCTCAGAGCCGGCCGTAAGTTAATGATGAAAGCCCTTCGCGTTAAAATAATTTTCAGTTATTAGGCACATTTACCCGTCCCTACAGCGGGGAACCTTTTCATTCTGTCGTTTGTATATAATGTAGTGCACCCCAATTTGAATTACAGAGTTTTGTAAAACGCAACCCGCACTAATTGAAAATTAAGTTAAAAATTTGTATTTCTTAATTACTAAATGATTGATTATTGACATAAAAACTATTTTGAAAAATAAAATAAGATCTATTCATTCCACGGATCTCTAGTATAATTATATATATAATACAACATATAATCATAAAAATAGGAAATATCTGTTGTATTTTATTTGTTACATGGTATTTTAATGTGTGTGTTTACAATTAAATTGTGGTCAAGGCCCGGGCTTGTTCAAGGAGGAAATTTTTTTTCTTACCTAAATTTAATTAAGCATTTATAAAATGCCTAGAGTTCAGCTTCGTATATTTTTGTCTCTGTTAAATTTAAGTCCAAAAAATACTTTTACCGTTAAATTTACCTAATCTCACAATAGAATAATATTAGTTGTGGTGATTTGAGGTTCTAAACTGGTGTGTTGTAAATCTAAACCATCCACGAATCCACCTTAACAACACCAGTATGTCCAGAGTTCAATGTGTATGAATTCACACACTTACAGAAGAATTATATCGAATCAAGCGAGTTAGCCGTCTTCTCTCCAAATTTCTAGATTGGCATTTATAATATAGTGG